TATTTATTTTTAAAGATATTTTTGATCTGTGGTTAGTAGAATCCTCGAATGTGGAACCCATGAATATAGAGGGTGACTGTACCACAAATTCTGTGACTTAAACAACAAGAAATTTATTGTCTAGAAGGCCAGGATCAAGGTGTTTCAGCAGGGTTGGTTCCTTCTGGGAACTAACTGAGAGGAAGAATCTTTTCCATGCCTTTCTCCTGATTTCTGGTGATTTGCTGATACTCTTTGGAGGTCCTTGGCTTACAGATGCTTCACTTCAGCCTCTGTCTTCTTCATCACATGGTATTCTTCCTGCATGCATGTCTGTGTCCAAATTTCCCCTTTTTGTCATTTATGGATCCACCCTACTCTAGTGTGACCTCATCTTAACTTAAATAATTAATGATCCTACTGCAATGATCCAACATCCACTTAAGGACACATTCTGAGGTACTGGGGGTTAGGGCCTCAACATAGGGATGAGAGCTGAGGCTTGAGGGACACGATTCATTCCACAACTCCAAGGAGCACCAAGGATTGCTAGCAGCTACCAGAAGCTAGAGGTATGGAAGGGATTATCCCTCAGAACCCCCAAAAGGAACCAACTCTGCTAACATCTTGATTTCAGACTTCTGGCCTCCAGAACTGTGAGATAATACATGTCTGTGGTTTTAAGCCATTTGTTTTGTGGTAATGAGTTACAGCAGCCTAGCAAACTCGTACATAAGCTCAGCACAGGGCACACATGTGTGTGATAAACCAGCTTTGCCTTGGAGAAGTTCATAAGGACCATGGGACCAGAGCAGGTCACTCAAAGAGTGTTTCTTCTCTACCAACCCTAGTTCCAAGAATTTTAGAGTGAAGTCTACTAATGATCCCTGAATTTGTTGATTGTCAAATGGAGGTGGAAGGAGAAAAAAACGACTTTGGAGACAGGATGGAAGAGAGCAAGCCAAATAGGAAGTACCATGTCACTGTGGTTTGAGGCTCAGAAGACAGAGGAAGCAGTCTTATTTCCGGTGGGAGGAAATAGCCATCATGTTGATGGCAGTCACGGCATATATATGCTAAAGTCTGTGCTGTCCACTCCCTATTCATAAGCTCCAACCAAAAGGTCTCTCTCTGGTAGTTATTACAGCTCCCATGTTAAAGATGAGAAAATTGAGGTCCACAGAGGGAAGCAACGAATCTATGGTCACACAAGTAGTGAGTGACAACTGGGATTTGAACACAGCTATTACAGAATCCAAAACAGGTGTGCTTTCATGCTGCACTGGTAAATGTTTAACAACTGGCTCTGTAGGGGAATAATGAATGTCTGTGTCTGAGCACATATGTCTAGGAAAAATTTTACTGCTTATAAAAGGTATGTAGTACATAGTTTGCAAACAATAATACAATATGCAATTCTTTTTATTATAAGTATCATGCAACTATAACTTCATGGTCACTCTATTTCTTGCAAAATCCAGTACCAGTTTTTATAATTTTTTTTTTTTTTTAGTTGGAGTCTCACTCTATCGCACAGGTTGGAGTGTAGGTGGCATGCTCAAAGTCACTGCAGCCTCAACCTGCTGGGCTTTGGCGATCCTTCCACCTCAGCCTTCCAAGAAGGAACTACCATGCCTGGCTTATTTTTTGATTTGTTGTAGAGACAAGATCTCACCAAGTTGCCCCTGGGTTCAGGCAGTCCTCTCGCCTCCGCCTTCCAAAGTGCTGGGATTACAGACTTGAGCCACTGAGCCCAGCCAATTTTTATAATTTTATCAACAACAATGTCACAACATCAGACTACAAATTATCAACTCAGCCAAGAAGTGGCTCGTGTCAATGAGTATATGTAGTTCTGATGTGAATGTTGGTTGGTGTTTTGTGCTAATTAGTAAGACACAAGTGAAACAACCAGGATATATACTGGGACTCCATTTGTTCATCAAAATATAACAACACAGTTGGGAAGTGATGAATTGTAAGAATTCATTACCTTTGTTTTTTATATTACTTATTTCATTGAGGTTTATATGATTTAATGTTTACTAATGTCTCATAACATTTCTGAAATTTGAATAATCATCTCTTTGTGAGCTTGGATGAAATATCTGGGCCTGCCCCCGCATATATGTTTATGGGAAAGAGATGTGAGGTTTCCACCACATCAGTGTCTCAGAATTCAAGACTCCTGGTTATTCTGAGGCTTGCAAGCATCACCAGCCTATGGGATTAATATTGATGACAGGGGATATTTGTGAATGGTGCAATCTCTGCCTCAGGCGCTGTCCAGATGCCTGGGTTTGTTGGCACAGCTGTGCCTGGAACCCAGCTATTTTTGTCTTCAGTGCTGGTATCTCCTGCAGCCACCCCACTGTGTCTCCAGATGTGTGAATGGTGGACTGGAGTGGGGAAGGATCAGAAATGATTTTCACTGTCTCTGCTGAGCCTGGTGCCACCTCAACCCTCCTCATCTGTTCAGCTACAGGAAAGTCTAAAACTCACCCTTTATCTCCTCCATGCCAAGAAAGTCCTCTCTCTCTCTCCCTCCCTCCCTGCCTCCCTTCCTTCTGTCTCTCTCTCTCTCTCACCTCCTTCTCTCTCTTTTTCTACTTCCCTACTTTCTCTCTTCCTCTTCCTCCTTTTCCCCTTCCTCCTCACTCTGTCCTTCGCTCCCTCTATCCCCTCTTCCTTTCTCCTTCCCTCCATCCCCTTTCTTTTCTTCCCTTGTCTCTTTCTCTCTCCTTTCTTCTTCTCCCTCTGTCCTTCACACCCTCCCTCCTCTCTTCTTTCTCTTTTCTTCCATTGTTCTCCCTCCCTTCCTGCCTTGTCTCTCTCTCCCTTCTTCCTCCTTCTGTCTTTCCCTCTCTCCATCCTCTCTTCTTTCTTCCTCCCTCCACCCTTTCCTCCTCCCTTCCTCTCTTGTGTCTCACACTTTCTCTCCCTCTCTCCGTTCTCTCTTCCCTTTCTCCCTTCTTCTCCCTCTTTCCATTCCTCCCTCCACCCTTTCTTCCTTTCTCCCTCCCTCCATTCCTTCCTTCCTTATACTGCTTTCTCTCTCTTCCTCTCCCTCTATCCTCCTCCCCTCCATCCTCTCTTCTTTCTCCCTTCTTCCTTTCCTTTTCCTTCCCTTCCTCCCTTGTCTCTCCCCCTCTTCCTTCCTTTCTCCCTTCTTCTCCCCTCTATCCTTTTCTCCCTTCATCCTCTCTTCCTTTCTCCCTCCCTCTGTCCCCTCTCTTTCTTTTCCTCTCTTGTCTCTTCCTCTCTTCTTGCTCCATTTCTCCTTTCTTCTCCCTCTATCCTTCCCTCCCGCTACCCTGTCTTCCTTTCTCCTTTCCTCCATTCTTTCCTCCCTTGTACTGTCTTCTCTTCTTCTCTATCCCTCTATCCTCCCCCTCTCCATCCTCTCATCCTTTTCCCTTTCCTCCAGTCCCTCTTCCTTATCTCTTCCTACTCTCTTTCAGTACACATTTTATTGAAGTACAGTACATATATAGAACTTGGCATATATTATAAATGTACTACCCAATAAATGCTCCTACGCTCCTGTAAGCAGCACCAAGATTAAGATGCAAAACATCTTCATAAGTCCCCTCAGTTACCTCCCCCTGAAACAAGGGTAAGTGTGGTCCTAACCTTAATTAGCATGGGTTAGCTCCTCCATTATTTATTTTTGAGTTGGAATCTCACTCTGATACCCAGACTGGAGTGCAGTGGCACGCTCCCGGCCACTATAGCCTCAACCTGCTGGGCTCCAGTGATCCTTCCACCTCAGCCTTCCAAGTAGCTGGAACTACAGGTGTGTGCTACCACACCCGGCTAATTTTTTTGATTTATTATAGAGATGAGGTCTTGCCAACTTGCCCAGGCGATCTCAAACCTGTGGGCTCAGACAATCCACTCATCTCAGCCTCCCAAAGTGCGGGATTACAGGCTGAGCCAGCTCCTCTGTTTTCAAACCTCTTATAGATGGAATCATACAGTGTGCCCTCTTTTCTCATATCTTGTCTCAATTATTTATTTATTTCATCAGGGTTTCACTCTGTCACCTAGGATACAGTGCAATGGCATGATCACAACTCACTGCAACCTCAACCTCCTGGGTTCACTCGATCCTTCCACCTCAGCCTCCAAATTACCTGAGAATGCAGGAACACACCACTATGCCCAGTTAATTTTTTCTTTCTTTTTGTAGAGATGAATTCTTGCTATATTGCCCATGCTGGTCTTGAACTCCTGGGCTCAAACAGTCCTCCCATATCGGCCTTCCAAAGTGCTGGGATTACAGGCATGAGCCACTGCACCCAACAGTATCTTGTCTAATGGAAGTAGTACTCTTTCACATTTCTCTCTCCTCCTTCATTTTCCTTGAGTGACTTTATAATTTATTTTTCTGGACACTTTTCAGAATGGAAGTGGGCGATATTAAGAATTATGCCAGCTGGGTTCGGTGGCTCAGTTTGTAATCTCGCGCTTTGGGAGGCTGAGGTGAGTGGATTGCCTGAGCTCGCGGGTTCAAGACCTGCCCAAACAACTTGGTGAGACCTCATCTCTACAATAAATCAAAAATTAGCCGGGCATGGTAGCACACACCTGTAGTTCTGGCTACTTGTAAGGTTGAGGTGGAAGGATAGCCGGAGCCCAGCAGGTCGAGGCTGCGGTGGCCGGGAGCGGCCACTGCACTCCAGTCTGGGCGACAGAGTGAGACTCCAACTCAAAAAATAAAAAATTATGCCAGAGTAATAGGTATCATTCAGGACCATTTCAGGCATACTAAGATGTGTGATCTTCCTATCATTTCCCACCTCTGACTGCCCTAGTCTGAAATCCAAAAGACCAAAACAGAAATCAAGAATAAGCTCACGTCTGCTTTTGCTCCTCTCCCCAAAGCAGGAGACCCAATTATTTTTTTCCAATGATGGATAACACTAAGAGGAAATGCCTGTGGTTTAGTAAGACTCAAGGTGAAACAGATGAAACTGGGAGCTCAAAAGTGTCACCTAGCTCTCTCTTCACATTGCCAATCACTCAGCCCCTGCAGGAGGTGAAGAATTGTTAGCTGTGTCACTGGTTGGGGCCGAGTCCTCGGTCAGGGCTCTCTCCAGGCTGGCAGGCAGGGAGTGGATCAGTCTCTCCCGGAAGTCCTGGCCCATGAAAACATACAGCATTGGGTTGAGGCAGCTGTTGAAGAAGGCCAGGGCACTTGTCACATTCAACAGGATTCTAATTTCTTTGCTCACACCAAGCAACACTTCACGGATTCTGATGGTGGCTATGAGGGCCACAATCTGATATGGGGACCAGCAGAGAAGAAAGGCAGCCACCACAAAAGTGAGAACCCGTAAGGGACGACTGGACTTAATCAGGCCTTGTCTGTGGATCTTGGTGGCAATAAGCCCGTAGCAGACAGCAACGATGGACATGGGTGTGCTGAAGCCAATAATGAACCGGATGATCCCTCGCACCGTATACATGTCAATGGCTACCCTCTTCTTCTCACTGGGGTCCTGGGTCCAGGGTGAAAAGTCAAATATGCAGCTTGTCTTCCCAGTCCCCTTGGTATCCGTCAATGTTGTCACACGAATGATAACGGGCAACGTGAGGAGTAGAGCAAGGATCCAGGGCACGAGGATCACTTTCCTGGCCAGACTAATGGTGCGATGGTTCTGGGCCCAGACTGGGTGCAGGACACAGATACAGCGGTCCAGAGCGATGAGGGCGATCAGGAAGACACTTCCAAAGAGGTTGATGTCTATCACGGTAAAAATGAACTTGCACAGAAACCAGCCAAAAGGCCAGTGGTCTCCCATGGCCTTTGAGGTGATGAAAAATGGCAAAGTGGAGGTGAAGGAGAAATCGGCCACTGCCAGGTTCAGGTAACAGATGGTGGTGACCGTGCGTGTCATTCGGAATCCAGCCACCCATATCACAAGCCCGTTGCCCAAGACCCCAAAGACAAAGGTGACAGCAAATACCAAATAAGAGAAGATATCCAGGACCAGATAGCCAGCAGGTACAGTTGAGGTCCTTGCAGACACGTTCATGGAGAGAGAGGAATTGGTCTCCATCTTGTCCATGCCTGAAATAGTGCAACAGTGGCCATTGTTTTTAATTTGGATCCTCCATGCAATCTCCCCAAGTTCTCATTTCTGAACCTGCTGGTGTTCCCATTCACCTGCTGGTGTTCCCTTCTTTTCCCCAGAGCTTCCATTCTAGCCAGAACATCCTCACCACTGTCCTGTACACTTACATCTATAAATCAACAACCTTTTATCACACTCATCGGGCAAGATTGTATCTTATACTCCCACATTTGCTGTCATACAAGCCACCTAGCAGGTAGGTTACTTGGGTAAGGAATTTCTAATTCTTCTAAGGAAGTGGGAAATTATTGCTTAATAGGTATGAAGTTTTTGTTTGGGGTGATAAAAAAGTTCTAGTACTAGATAACGGTAGCAAAATATTGTAAATTTACTTAACACCACTGAATTTTACACTTACAATGATGAATTTTGTATTGTGTGTTTTACCACAACCTCGCCCAGCCCCATAAATGTCACTGAATTTACAATTAAAATGATAGCTATTATGTGTATTTTACCACAACTTTTTTTTTTTTTATTTTTTGAGTTGGAGTCTCACTCTGTCACCCAGACTGGAGTGCAGTGGCATGCTCCCAGCCACCACAGCCTTGACCTGCTAGGTTCCAGTGATCCTTTCACCTCAGCCATCCAAGTAGCTGGAACTACAGGTGCATGCTACTACTCCTGGCTAATTTTTTATGTATTGTAGAGACGAGGTTTTGCCAAGTTGCCCGAGTGGGTCTTGAACCCGCGGGCTCAGGTAATCCACTCGCCTTGGCCTCCCAAAGTGCTGGGATTACAGGCTGAGCCACCGAGCCAGGCTACCACAACTTTTAAAAAGAAAAAAAATGATATGTGAATATCAGAAGTTTGGTTGAAAATTAAATTAAACTCCTGGACTCAGGCAATCCTCTAACCTTGTCCTCCCAAACTACTGAGATTATGTGTGAGCTGTCATGTCCAGCCTTACCACACCATTTAAAAAGAAAAAAAGAGGCCAGGCTCGGTGGCTCAGCCTGTAATCCCAGCACTTTGGGAGGCCGAGGTGAGTGGATTGCCTGAGCGCGCGGGTTCGAGACCCACCCGGGCAACTTGGCAAGACCTTGCCTCTACAATAAATAAAAAATTAGCCAGGTGAGGTAGTGTGCGCCTGTAGTTCCAGCTACTTGGAAAACTGAGATGGAAAGATCGCTGGAGCCCAGCAGGTCGAGGCTGCAGTGGCCGGGAGCATGCCACTGCACTCCAGTCTGGGTGACAGAGTGAGACTCCAACTCAAAAAAAATAAAGAAAAAAGAAAAAAAGAATAATGGTGTGTGGATATCAGAAAATCATATGGCTTCAGTGACCCAGTGCGAGACATATATGGGCTAAAGACTTTCTCTCACCCATGACTTTCTGCATGAGAGCTACAAGCTATGTACCTTATCCATTCCAGACTCTGCTGCCCTTCTCTTTTAGGGGTCATGAAAGCGTCCTTTGAAAGTCTCCTTTAATCTGCCATTATAATTGACAAAACATACTATTTGGTTAGTATTCTAAGAAAGGTCTAATGGATCAGTGAGTGATAACAGACCATGTGCAACCAGGTGTAGATCTTGTGCCAGGGGAAGTCCAAACTAAGCTGTTCTTACTTTTGTCTCTGGGATTACCTTGACCAGATGGCTGCTCTCCTCCACTCACTGGATGGGCTTGATACCCAGGGTGATGAAAAAGAGTATGATAGAAATCAGTCAGATATGTGATGGGCATGACATTTTATGAAATTAGGTTTGTAGAGTACATGCCAGGCTCTTGCTAAGAATTGTCATTCTCGCCAGGCTCGGTGGCTCAGCCTGTAATTCCAACACTTTGGGAGGCTGAGGTGAATGGATTGACTGAGCCCGCGGGTACGAGACCCACCGGGCAACTTGGTGAGACCTCGTCTCTACAATAAGTAAAAAATTAGCCAGGTGTGGTAGCACGTGCCTGTAGTTCCGGCTACTTGGATGGCTGAGGCAGAAGGATCGCCAGAGCCCAGCAGGTCAAGGCTGCGGTGGCCGGGAGTGAGACTCCAACTCAAAAAAAAAATTGTCATTCTCTTCTAATCCTTGCTGCAACCTTCCTCAAATGGTGGTTGTGAAGATGAAATGGGTTAATACAATAAAGCTGAGACAGTGATGGACACACAGTATGCACTGATTGATGTCAGGTTTTGTTTTCTTTATTATGTCCATTTTGAAGATGAGGAAACTGAGACTTAGAGCATTCAAGTTCATTGCTTTAATTCATCTAACTTCCTAGACTGTTAAATTCCAGTAAATGTCTCTTTCTGCTCCTGCCCTGTTATACCATTAGTACAGAAGAGGTGTCTAATATAGTAACCATTCACCATATGTAAGTTTTACGCACTTGAAATGTAGCTAATCCAATTCAAGATGGGCTATAAGAATAAAATACCCATCAAATTTCAAAGACTTAATAAGAAAAAAAGTAATGTGAATGCTCTCATTAATAATTTCTATCTTGAATACATGTAGAAATAATAATTAGGCTCTATAAAGTTAAATAAAAAATATATATATATATATTTGAGTTTGAGTCTCACTCTGTCACCCAGACTGGAGTGCAGTGGCATGGTCCCGGCCACCGCAGCCTCAACCTGCTGGGCTCTGGCGATCCTTCTGCCTCAGCCTTCCAAGTAGCTGGAACTACAAGCGCGCACTATCACACCTGGTTAATTTTTTGATTTATTGTAGAGATGAGGTCTCACCAAGTTGCCCAGGCGGGTCTCGAACCCGCGGGCTTAGGCAAACCACTCATCTCAGTCTCCCAAAGTGCGGGATTACAGGCTGAGCCACTGAGCCCGGCTAAATAAAATATTTTATTAAAATTTAATTTTACTTGTTTTGCAAAGTGCTTACTTGACAATTTAAAATTATGTATGTGGCTCACACTTCTACTAAATCTTGATGTAGTGCAGTCTCAGAAACATCTTGAAAATATTTCCCTCCTCCACCTTCCATCCAATCACCCAGACACCCTGAGGACTGTTTGTCCACAAGAATCTCTAAGGCAACAATTTGAAATGGTTGTTGCAATGAATGAGAATGATGTTGCAATGAACATACCAGAAAGGAAGTACTGTGCAATTATGACTTCCCCATAGTTCAAGTTGGAAATTCTGTGATTTGCAATGAACACAGGCCATGGTGGCTACCCTGCCGGACCCCTTACAAATGTGACAATCATTGTATTACATCCTCAACTTTCTTTTCTTGCCTCTGATCTCAACAAGTTCAGCATTGACTCAAATCATCAGAAGAGAAAACGTAGACTTTAATGGGAAGTGACTAGCTAACATATGCAAATTGGTGAGGGGTAGAGCTGCATTCTGCTGTTGGGTCCCATGTATCATGCAAAACTACTATCTTCAAATGGGGAGTTGTCACTGCTCTGAAAGTCAATGGCTTCCTTATTACATCCATCTTTGCATGGCCCATAATAATCATAGATCAGAGCACCTTGTGATTCTTGATGACCTCAAAAATATACCAATATACTGCCTGTATAAGGAGAGTTGGCTGAGAACTTTTAGAAACTCAAGGATCAGTGTGGTGATTCCTAAAAGACCTAAAAGTTGACCTTCCATACAACTCATCAATTCCCCTTCTGTGAATATACCCAGAGGAACTTGAATCAATCTTTTAAAAAGATGCCTGCACACACATGTTCATTGCAGCATTATTCACAATAGCAAATGCATGGAACCAACTGTGTTGCCCATCAAAAGTAAACTGGATAAAAAAAAGTCATACATATACATGATGGAATATTATGCAGCCATAATGAAGGACAAAATTATGGACTTCACAGTAACTTGGATGGATTTAGAGTCTATCATACTCAGTGATCTATTATGGAAACAAAGAACTGAGCACCACCTGTTCTCACTCATAAGTGGACCCTGAATATTTATCATAATACTATAAGAAAGGGATTGACAGTTGTGGGAAACTGCCAGGGAAGGGAGGGTGGGTGGCACATAACATCAACAAGGATACCTGATCTCAAACCAGGTGAGGTGGGGACCAAAGGGAGGCCCAAACTTTGCCTGTATGATGACCACTTAAGTACCTAATCCTAATTTGTACCCCATATCTTTAAAATAAAATAAATAAAATTTAAAAATGCACTTAAAAGGAAAAAGAAAGAACAGAAACTCAAATATCTCATTTTATTGTTTTCTCCTCAAAGTTCCAAAATTCCTCTCCCACCTCCACTCATGGCCCCAAACAGATGCCTTTGCCTCATACTCCCCCAAGTCCTCCTTCCCGCCTACTCCTGCACCGCTGTTCTCTGCTTTGCCTCAGTGACCAAAAAACAAGTATTCTTGCCAAGACCTACCCTCTACTGGTTCTTCTAAACTCACCTCTTTATTTACTCAGGAACTTCCATCCTTCACTTATCCTCTCTCTCTCCAGCAGCATCAATATATTCTCTACATCCCATCATTCCCATCATGGCCCAATATGCTCTAGAATCTCTTTTTTTTAAGTTGAAGTCTTACTCTGTCGCCCAGACTGGAGTGCGGTGGCACACTCCTGGCCACCACAGCCTCGACCTGCTGGGCTCAGGCGATCCTTCTGCCTCAGCCTTCCAAGGAGCTAGAACTACAGGCATGCACTGCCACGCCTGGCTAATTTTTTATTTATTGTAGAGATGAGGTCTCACCAAGTTGCCCAGGTGGGTCTCAAACCCATAGGCTCAGGCAATCCACTCTCCTTGGCCTCCCAAATTGCTGGGATTACAGGCTGAACCACCGAGCCTGGCCTAGAATCTTTAAATACAATTTTTCCTCAACTCCATGTTTTTCTTCAACTCATTCCAGAGAGTCTATTTGTCCCCAAGTCCCCCAAATTATTCCTCAACTCCATGTTTCACTTTCATCTCACTCTAAAGACTCTATCTAATAAGTGTGCCCTTGTCATTCTCCCCAGCACTCAGGA